TAACAATAAATGTCATTATAAAATCATTTAGTTAAAGTAACGAAACATTTCATTAATGACTTAAATGTATACTTTTCGGGCATACTCAAGAATATATTCAGTTTTTTTTTATAAAAAAGAATTCGTCAAAATTAGAAATTATTTTTGTACTTTATCTCTTCGTTTTAAATAATATATTCTCGAAACGTTTGTACTTTGTAGTTTTAACTTAAAGTTTAATTCCTGCAATAACTGTATTAAAAGTAAACAAGCGAAACTAAATTTATATTAATTAGTAATTTTTTACTAGTCACTATTGAAATAATTTTAATGAAAATATGTATAAAATTACCCTTCTAAATAAACGACTTCTTAGCGATTTTTAACTTCCCGTAGGGTAAGTTATAGTAATCGCAAAAAAATCGAAAATGAAAATTTTTATATATCTTTACGTTTCAGAGGTTTCTGAATATTTTGGCATACCTTAGAAAAAATGGATGTATGTGTGTGTGTGTGTGTGTGTATGTGTGTGTGTATGTGTGTGTGTATGTGTGTGTGTATGTGTGTGTGTATGTATGTACGTGTGTGTATGTATGTGCGGATACAAATTTTCGTCGACGATTTCGGGAACACGGATCAACCGATTTGAATAATTCAAAAAACATTCGATTCGTATTGATAAGGAGACGTGCTGATTAGTTTTTGGCGAAGGCAGGTCTAGCCGTTCCGAAGATACGGGGCAAAAAATGCCGAAAACGGTAACTCAGTTTTTAAGAGAACGGAGCGTCCGATTTAAATAATTCAAAAAATATTTTACTTGTATTGACAAGATGAAGAATCGATAAAATTTTCATGAAGGTAATTCTAGCGGTTTCGGAAATATGGAGGAAAAAGTAAAAAAATTAGCCATTTGGCGGTCAAAAATAATCATTAGACATATGCACATCAAATTATCAGATATTTTATAGAGATTTTAATATTAAGTATACATTTTGTTAACATTCCTATGGGTTCCGTACCAATGCTTATGCGTTAGACAGCGACGCGGCGCTTACGCGCTTTATATTTTTTCCATATGCAGTTAAATCAGTACGATTGCTTTGAAAAAAAAGTTCAGATCTTCCACAATATGTCAAAATAAAAAAAATAAAAAAAAAAATTTTTTTTTTCAAAAAAAGTAATATTTTGTCCATATATATAATTTCTCAAAAATCTTATTTTTTCAAAGTACATTTATTTCAAAAATGTTAATCGTTTTTAAAAAATTAATAATTTTTGGTACGGGAAGTTCCAGCAATTTGCCTTAAGGCACGATGCCTTAATTACCTTAAGACAGAATTCCACTTACAGCTAGTTTCGATTTTAATTGATAATTTTTATGATTTGGGTATTTATTTTGTATACTTTTTTATTTTGTAAATACAAAGTGTCTATTATTAAATGCAACTGAGTTAGGTTTAATTTTTTTATTTTTATTTTTAAATGCAACTGAGTTAGGTTTAATTCCTATGCGGAGAGTCTACTAAGTCCGATAACATAAGCCGTCTTGTTCTCACAAAGTTAATCCACATAATTCAACTTTCGCACATTCTACGACGAGTTTTACCAGAACACCTGACTTATTATCTGTCAATAGCATCTGGGAAAGTAATTTGATGTTTTTAGGTTTATCAAAAATTGACAATGTAATAGTGAACTATAAAGATATAACTATATTCCAAATTATGTTAATTTCTGGTGAATGATCCGTTATTGTCTTGTGAAAAAAAGCTAATAGTTGTCAAATATTTGTAAACGCTACTTGAGGAATGTGTTACGCATGTGTATTATAGTATCATAGTATTACAGTCAGCACAATAGTATGTGAATATACAAATCTATATAGATGTAGTTATTACAATCTTCTGCTAATATTTTTGACATTTCAATAAATTAACAAAAATGACTATTAAAATAATAATTGAACTAATCATAGAGTCGTCTTTGGACTAGAATTGATTGGAGCAATCAAAAGAAAAAAATTATCCCATGTTATTTGAAAATGTGTAATTATGTAAAACCTAGAGCATCAATCAAACTGCAATCGGGTGTATTTTTACTATTTTTGTGTCGACCAAACTGCAATTCAGGTATATTTTACTATTTTTGTCAAGTTTAACTAACTGCAACAACAGCCTAAATAACATTTTTAGAATCATATCCAGAAATAATGATACCACAAGATTGACCTGTGTTTTTTAGAATTAATATTATTTATTAAAAAATTAACTTAAATTTTTGAAGTCTATCAAATTTGAAAGGCCCTCTTTCAAATAAATGTACTTAAGTGTCTTTATTTATTTTTTATTTAAGGGCATTTATTTAAGATTCAAAATTGATAAAATACTTATAAGTTTTCTACTTAAAATTTGTGTAAATGATAAAAATCTTTACTATTCTGATTTTTTCTAATTCTGGAATAAATTCTTGAAACTACTTGTTATAAATACTTGCTATATCATATAGTAAATTCCTTAAAATTGCTGTAGTCTTAGAAGTCGTTGCCTATTGCTGACTAATAAATTTATATCAAACTGATCAGATTTAACAGTCAGTTTAAACTCATAATTTTTTACAGTATTTTCCACACACCATATTTCTAAATGAAATTTTACCAATATCTAATGTTGTAGTGCACATATATTTTGCGGGGTAATTGGTAATTAAAATTTGAGAATGTTTGTTTTCGGAAAGCCTGTTAATCGATTGAAATTATTAATTATATATAGTAATATAAAGATATTATATATAATAACCTGAACCTACTAAATACCAAATTAATATAATTGTTGAAAATCTTTTATATTTGGACTAGCAATTAGTTTCGATTTCATTTTAATTTTTCATAATACTATTTTTATCTGATTTTATTCAGAGGCCTATTATTATGGAGATTAAACTCAATATTGCGTTTCGACTATAATACTGTACTTTATATTTAATTATACTTATTACGCTTACCCAATATAGCATGCTCGCGGGCAGTAATAACTCACGTAAAACACTTAGTTCCCAAATATAAGTAGATCCAAAATAACCACCCGATCACTATATTACAGCAGACTTATGCCGACATAAACAGTAAAACAAATTAAACTTTGGCTCATTACTTCTGCATAGTTCTCATGAAAAACTAATTTTAATTTTCGCAATCATTACTAAACCCGTGGCTTCGATATAAATAAATCAGAGCGGATTATTTTGCGGAATGGTTTGACAGCATGCGATCAAATAATAGTTTTTCGCGAAACGACTTAATTGCATTTCGCCCGAGATCAAACATTGCTGATAAAACGATTGTGATATGGCCGGAAAGCTGCCATTATTGTTAGCTATTATTGTTAGTTAGCTCGACTGTTGTGTAGTGTAGTCGTATTAGGAGGTAGGTACCTACTGGAGCCATTTGCTGATCAATAGTTAATTAAATATTTTCATTTACCAAGCCAGACGTTTGTGCATGAGGTTTTGCAGTGTTTTGCTTGCGTAGCGCACGCTCTTGTAACTTGTAACACACTTTGCGAACATTGTAATTCATCTGCTGTTTATTTCAATGTGCCGACATGCGAATACATACGATCTTGCATGGTAATTTATACCCTTGATGCGAAACTAAACTATGGCAGATATCTAACGAATGATGATAATGATATTACATACAATTGAAGATAAAACAACTTATTTGATATTACGCTTATTACCTTCCAGATTTTGATAGCAATGTTGATAAATTTGATATGTTAACGAATTTTTTGACCTTGTGAATCATTTGTCATCAAAATTTGAAGTATGTATGTACAAATTCGATAAATTTCTGAGACGCTAGTCTGAGACGTTCTTTTCAGAGTGGAATTTTACTTAATTAAAACTAGACAGTTGCAATAGAAACTCTAATATTCAACTAATTGCACAAGATATCATTAACTGATCTCCAAGTTTTGTGCCATTGCAAAATATATTTAAAAAAGCGACTGTTTTCTGATTCAAAATATCACAAATCTAAGGCTTTTGTCAAAATTGAACCAAGAAAGACAAATTGTGAATTTAAAATTCTTGATTGGTATCTAACAAATATCAATAAAAAGTAAGGTAAAAATGCAAATTTTGTTTTAAGTATTCAATTAACTTAAGTATTCATTATACCATAGCTAATATAACGTGCTCGAAAACTAATATCGTGAATTTATGAAATGCATTATAATGTTACAATCGAATAACGCTGGATAACTTATCATCTCCGTGGTATAAGCGGTACACCGGCATGTAATACATTATACTTCGTGCAATATGGTATAAACTCGTAGTAGTAGCAAGTGGCAAGCTTATCATTAACGAACCGAGAATTTGTTAGTAAATTACACGAAATTAACTTCGGTTAATATATGTGCCGTTTCGCGCACACGCAGACATGTACGAAAACGGCTAAGTGCCCTCATATGCTACTGGTACCGCATTGGGCGAGGTATATTTATTCAAACATATTAAGGCTTGTATAATCACTGTTTATTAGTAATAATAAAGGCTAAATTGCTTATTTTAACAGATTTGTAATCAGCAATGGTAGATACATTGTATCGATGTAATGTACTATTTCTAATTCTTCTTTGACAATACAATGTATTGTAATACGGTGGAGACGCCACGTACAAATGTCACTCACTAGGAGATTAATTTAATTTTAATTATTTATTAATATATTAATTTAATTTATATGAATAATAAAATAACAAGTGTAATAATTTATATGACATTTTATATTTTGTGGAAATATTAATTTATATTATTCTATAAATATATTCTTTGAATAATAACTTATGTAATCATACGCAAAATTTAGTATATTATATAACAATATATATAGAAAATCATTAGTAGACAATATTTTAATAGTTAATAGATCCCTATTTTATTCCTTTTTGAATAATAATATATATATATAATAATTTAATCTTACTTGAAGTTTACTAAACTATTTTTATTTTCAGCTCTAGGTGCTGATGAAAACTTCCCACGTGGTGAGTGTTTTAAATATTTTATCTTTAATTTTATTGCATGAAATGATATTGGGAAAAGATTTTTTATGCAACCGGATTATTCTAAATTTTGTTTTTTATTACGAGTGCGCTTATAGGCACAAAGTGTACCATTAATCTTTGCCCATCGGATTTACGTATTGTGATTTCAGTTCACTTCATACACTTTGCCATGTTCGCGCGGCTTTGGTTTAGTGGCCTGATGTAACGAATAACAGGGTTTGGAAAAAGACTCAGAAATATATATATATATATATATATATATATATATATATATATATATATATATATATATGAAATAATTATTAGTACCTTCAAATTAAAAAAAGTTAAATGAAAAACATTATTTAATAATTCTGTTTTGACACTTGATGTGAGTTATCATGCAGCAATTCTATGGTACATTATTTAAATACTAGTGATGAAATTTACTAAGAAAAAGTATACATATAAAACCAAAACACAGTTTTTGTTCCTAGTTTGGTATGTACATGTCTTCTCATTCCAACATTGTACGAATGTTGATATGAATGATAATATATATCTATATAAGATTGATATGGGTGGATAATAGTAGTAGAGAGCGAAGTAGACGAATAATACAAATGAAAGAGTGATTGGAGACAATAAATAAGTATTTGGATACAAAGTGTATCATTGGAGACGAATAGAGTTAAAACCTTAATATTGATTAATCAATGACAATAAAGTCATTAATGCTATAGGTCAGTACGGAATAATATATGAATAACAGTCTATATACAACATAACTCATTTATTTATATTTAACAATATTTGGCTAAAAAATTTAAAAAGTTTATTTTTAAGTTTAATGCTATATCTCGAGTTTGAATGAATAAGTTTCCAATACAGAAGTCAAGTAATCATCGAAGCATTTTTTTGATGATTTTTTTTTATCAATTTTATTAACCCTGGCATAGATCGGCTTTACTAAAGCGTAGATGTACAAGCGATTCCCTTGCTATTTTCGCAACACCAGTATAGCGTTTTATTCCCCATTGTTTACAATTCGCGTTCAGTTATCTGCGTTAATGTATGTGGCTCATATGTATATATTTGCACCTACACAAATGTTTTTTCCGCGATGGATAAACGGAAAATCTGTGTAATCCACTTCCAATGTTGTTGAACTCTTACGTTAAGCCCGAATATGTACAATATGCACGAATTGGTACATTTAAATGTGCGAATATAGTTTAGATAAAATGCGCTTAGCAGATATTTGCAATGCTTATATTGAATTTTAGCAGTTGCACTTAACTGATATCAATTTGCTATTAAATGCATCAAAAGTTACTTCGAATGCTTAAAATTCTGTACAATTTTACTGTTGTGCAAATCTCACTGTTCTATGAATCTGTCCTCGTTATTTTGTACACATGCCATGATGAATAAGAAAATGTTTCGTTTATCTATTTGTCAAAACCCACAATTATAGAAAATATGTAATAGGTATTGGTAAATTTATTCTGTTCGTTAAAGATGATATTTTGTACATTGATAAGGGACAAAACTATTTATATAATTTAATGGAATATTATCGGTTTTATAAAATACACCTAACGATCTAGATTCAATAGTATTTTTTTTTAACTTCCTGTAGCGTAAGTTATTGTAATATAATAATCAAAATTGATTTTTTTTTCATTTCTTCACGTTTTGAAGGTTTGTGAACATATTTGTTTATGTGTGTATGTATGTATGGATACAATTTTTCGTCCACGGTTTTAGGCGCACGGAGCAACCGATTTGAATGGCTCAAAAGCATTCGATTCCTATTGCTAGGGAGATGTGCTGATTAGTTTTTGGCAACGGCAGGTCTAGCCGTTTTGGAGATACGGTGCAAAGAGTGCAGAAAATAGAAATCGAGTTTTTGAGAGAACGAAGCGTCCGATTAGAATGATCCAAAAAACATTTTATTTTTAATTATCCATACAATATGTTACCATTTTTAATTAAATTGTCGCCATAATGTTTTAGATATTATTATTATTTTATCAAAACACTAAAAACAACATTGATCTGTGTTTACTGTTAACATAGTTTTTAAAAATCCAATTTTATACATTGAAGTGGTAAACCATTAAAGGTCCGCGGGTGGAAAGATTCACAATTATTATCAGCAAACTTAGAATAAAATTTTTAATGTTACTATTTTCAAGTAGAAGACAAAAGATATGTAACCATCCATCAGCTTAATTTTTACAAAGTCGCTATCAGTATATTAATGAAAATACATCAATATTGAAACCTAAAATATTTTTATATCGGTTGTTTTTATGACCTCTTGGGGAAAAAAGAGATATTTGACAAATTTAAAAAAAATAGTAAAAAAAATATATCTTTATAATTTGGAGTAAACTGGGAATATTACTAGACATAGTACGATAGTTGTTTGATACATGTCATGCAATAATATGTAGTTTAGATTACATTAATTAGGCAAATTTAAAGAAAACTAGTGTTTATATAATACAGAGAGTAGAATTATAATTTTTTACTTATGGAATATTATCGATGTCATAAAGTAGGCAATAATTTGAATGCATGTCTCGTTTTTTATTATCAACTTTAAATTAAATCTCCTATGAATTGTTAAATCATCTTTTAGTAAAAGAACTTTTTGTAACAGAAATAAAATCAAACTGGTAACTGTAATAACTGTACTCACAATTATTATTGTTAAAAAATAGTTATTGTACATTGAAAAATTATGAAAATTACGTGATATGTACTGTAATATTTTCCGGTAAGTACTCGAAATTTTATTTCATTCATATTAAATAACACTCACATTTCATTTTAGTAGTATTTGATGCGAATAATTATACTTTATATTTATGTTTTGGTTACAAATTTATTCAAAACAAAGTTTGTATTTTCGTCATCGTCTTTCCGCCGACAATATCATGACAATTTCCATGCTACTTAGTAGGTAGCCCGTCGAAAACTAGGACACATCACACCTGTATCGCTCCAAAGCGTTTTGTGCAACAAAGTTTCTGAACTTTGTATTCAGTTCGCACAGAGAAAAGGAAGCTGTACGAATGCTCGACGTATAATTCCAGTTAATTGCATAGCCCGTACCTTATTCACTGAGCTCTACCATTGTGCACTGACTCTATATTACGTACTGAACTGTATAATATTCAGCAGCTATATTTGTTACTGGAAATAATTAAAACGGTACACAACAACCGAGACGTAACGTCCGAGATAAGAAAAAGGAGTCGTTGCGGTTCTTTGATGAATTGGAACTCAAGGAGCTCTTGCAGCAACTGGTGAGATCAACCAAATCATGCAGTGGACGAACAACTCTATTTCTTCCCTTTCCATATGAAAAAAACTCTAAAATAGAATAAACTGAATTACATTCATGTTCCTATATCATCTTAGTCACATGCAATATTTTTATAAACTAAATAACGATTATCCTAAAAATAGCTAAACATTTTTTTTGAAATAGTAATGTGCATTTGGTACCAATTATTTTAAAAACGTCTTCTAAATTGCGTTTACATAAAATGATGATCTTACACATAGCATCATGTTGTTCAAAATTATTTAATTTGGTAGCTACTACTTGAGTTAATATTGAACCAAACAGTCATAGAACAACAATATCTTCTGACTGCTGTTAAATAATGTTAAAAAAAAATTGGTAGCTACATAACCACACACAAAATACAAAAAACCTAAATTAGAAAATACTGATTTCTGATTTTTCTATGCACATCCAAGTCAAGTGCATTTTTTTCATGAAGCATTTGCAAATTAATACTTGTTGTTTAGTTTGTTTTGGGATCACGCTTTTTTCATAAGCATTTCAACATTATTCTGGTAAAATTAATCATATTAAGTTTTTGAAAATGATATAAAATTAAACGAATATTGTTTTATTATTGTTTAGATAATGGAACTATTATTATTATATTATCAATGTTCTATGAGCAGTTATGATGCATTTTCAATTCTCCGTAGGGTAAGTTATAATAATTGATTTTTTGAGAGAATGGAGCGTCCGAGTTGTATTATTCAAAAAACATTTTATTTGTATTGACGAAATGAAGGACTGATAAAATTTTTGGATAGGCAGGTCTAGCGGTTTTGGAGATCCAATAAGAAAAGTGAAAAAAGTGCCATTTGATGGACAAAAATGAACATTAGACACATGCACATCAAATTATCACATATTTTATAGATATTTTAATAATAATAACAGATTTTATTCACATTTTTATGGGTTTCTTACTAATGTTAATCCATTATAGTGCGACGCGGCGCCCACGCGCTTCCATATTTCGTTTCTACGCAGCTAACGTACCGCGTTTGCTTTGAATAAAGTTAAAAATTACCAAAATATTTCAAAGCTTGAAAAAAATCAATTTTTCAAAAAGCTCAATTTTGTTAAAAGTTTTTATAGAGTTTATTTTTTTTAAAAAAAGAGTGTGCGTAAGAATCACACGCTATTGAAGTAAAACTTATTTGCTACTGTACAAAATAGCAAATTTAAGTTAAGTAAAAATAAATACATAACAATTTTGAATCATGTTTATTAGTGATATGGTAACACTCGTGATGCACACATTTATTAGTGTCAACCATTATACATATTTATATAATGATAAATTATAAATTATATATTTATAATAGTATTAAAAATATGTATAATATTTAAAAACAATAATGTAATTAAAGTCACACTTCAAATATGACATGATCGGTTAGTCATTGAAATTAGCATTTAGAAATGAACCTTCATTAGAGAAATGAAGTAATTGCTAATTCGTAAATTCTATAATATTCGTTTACACAGTGGATTATGTTAAATAACGTCTAAACAAATATTGTTTTCGCAACCTTACTCATCATGTAATTGTGTTGGAAGAACTTCATGTAATTAAAATTAACATATATTCATTGACTGCTTGTATTTTTTTACTTTTTCGCTGGCGATATAA